GAAAATACATAGGTGGTCAGATAACAGATAAAATATTGAAAAAAAAATTTAAAAAAGGGCCGGGCGCGGTGGCTCACGCCTGTAATCCCAGCACTTTGGGAGGCTGAGGCGGGTGGATCACAAGGTCAAGAGATCGAGACCATCCTGGTCAACATGGTGAAACCCCATCTCTACTAAAACTACAAAAAAATTAGCTGGGCATGGTGGTGCGTGTCTGTAGTCCCAGCTACTCAGGAGGCTGAGGCAGGAGAATTGCCTGAACTCAGGAGGCGGAGGTTGCAGTGAGCCGAGATCGCGCCATTGCACTCCAGCCTGGGTGACAAGAGCGAAACTCCGTCTCAAAAAAAAAAAAAAAAAAAAAAATTTAAAAAAGGACAAGTATGAGGACATTTGTATGTACTGCAATTTTAAATAGCCAAGGAAGGTCTGACTGAGGTGACAATGGAACAAAGACTGGAAAGGGAAGGAAGTGCCATGAAGTTATCAGGGGATGACTAGTGCAGGCATTGGAGGAAGACCCAAGGAGGTTAATCCCAGCTGAGATAAGAGAATTATGGAACCCTTAATGACCGGCTTTTAGTGAATGAGACAAACCACTGAGGTTTGAGCAATGCACAAAGGATGTGACTTTATATATATTTCCTTTAATTAGACAACAGCGTTGTCTTTCACCCAGGCTGTGGTGCAGTAGCCCAATCATACATCACTGCAGCCTCCATCTCCTGGCATCAAGCAATCCTCCCACCTAGGCCTCCCAAACACTTACCTGGCCACTGACTTAAATTTTAAGCCACTGACTTAAAATGTTAAAGGAACACTTTGCTTGCAGATGAAAAGGTGGGGCAATGATGAAAACACTTTCCCAGAGATTTTAATTGGCCTGGAACAGGTTAAGAAAATAGGATTGGCTGAGCACTGTGGTTCAGGCCTGTAATCCCAGCACTTTGGGAGGCCAAGGCAGGCAGATCACGAGGTCAGGGGTTCTAGAGCAGCCTGGCCAACATGATGAAACCCATCTCTATTAAAAAGACAGAAATTAGCCTAGCATGGTAGCACACGCCTGTAATCCCAGCTACTGGGGAGACTTAGGTAGCAGTGAGCCAAGATCACTCCACCCTGGGTGACAGAGGAGCAAGATGTCCTCTCAACAAAAAGGACCAATGTCTACAGTATCAACACCTTTAGGCATGCATAAAAGCTGCAATTTTGGCCTGGTGCAGTGACTCGCACCCGTAATCCCAGCACTTTGGGAGGCAGAGCCGGGTAGCTCACTTGAGGTCAGGAGTTCAAGACCAGCCTGACCCAACATTGTGAAATGTTTCTACTAAAAATACAGAGATAGCCAGCGTGGTGGTGAATGCCTGTTACCCCAGCTACTTGGGAGGCTGAGGCAGGAAAATCGCCCTAACCTGGGAGGTGGAGATTGCAGTGAACTGAGATTGTGCCACTCACTCCAGCACGGACAACAAGAGTGAAACTATGTCTCAAAAAAAAAAAAAAATCTTAAGGCATCAACAAAATGCATTATGTACAAAATGCGTTCTAAACAACCTTAAATTCTGGCCAAAGGAGCCGAGAAAAAAATTAAAAGCTTTAAAATGATCACAATTTAATAAGGAATTTATTCGCTCCTTTATAAGTGCCAAAAGTTCCCAAATCCAACACCACCCTCAAAAGTAATGTCCTTCTAAAACTCCCCATTAAGTTCAATGATGCAAAATAGGGCCACAGCAACACCAATTCAGCCTGGCCAACATGGGAAAACCCAGTCTCTAATAAAAAATACAAAAATTAGCAGGGTGTGGTAGTGAACCCCTTGAAGCCCAGCTACTCAGAAGGCCGAGGCTGGAGAATTGCTTGACTCAGGAGACGGAGGTTACCATGGGCCAAGATCACACCACCTCCCTTCAACCTAGGCAAGAGAGCAAGTCTCTTGTCATAAAAACAAAAAAACCAATACCAGATACTTCAGCCACCTCTTTTATTCATTCTTTCAATAGTAAAATGAGGCCTGGCGAGGTGGCTCACGCCTGTAATCCTAGCACTTTAGGAGGCCGAGGTGGGCGTATCACCTGAGGTCAGGAATTTGAGAGCAGCCTGGCCATGACAACCAACCCCCAAACCCCCCAACCCCCCTCTAATAAAAATACAAAAACTAGCTGGGCGGGTGCCTGTAATCCCAGGTACAAGGGAAGCTGAGGTAGAACTGCTTGAACCCAGGAGACCGAAGTTGCAGTGAGGGAGATAGCTCACTGGACTCCAGCCTGGGTGACAGAGCAAGAATCCATTATTTAAAAAAAATAAAGAGAAAGAAAATGAGGCAGATCGCAAATAAAAACCCAAAATTTACCAGTATCATAAACTTACTTCTTTGCTTTGTATACATAAGCACATCTCTTGCCCAAATAGAATTCTGTTTCATCTCGGGCATAAACACCTTCAATTTTAAGAAGAGCTGTGTGCTCCCTTTGGTTCCGAAGACCCCGCTTATAGCCGGCAAAAATAGCCTTGGACCACAGCCTAAAAAACAAAAGATACACAACATGAAATACAATCTTCAACGAACCAATTAGACCTGCAATAACCTCCACCCAAAAGTTACCTAGAGCAAACATCTAATTTTTTTCTTAACAATTTTAAGCTGTCATTTACGTTCACGTCTAACAAAAAAAGAGCAACTATATTTAAAACGCGTACCTTCCAGACATAGTTCCTTTTGTAAGTCCTGTTCCCAGCGGGCCTTAAAACACCTTAAAACAAACAGAAGATTCAGTTTGAAACCAAGCCACTCAAGTTTCCCACCTCGTCCCCTCCCATTTAAGCCTCTAAGGCGAATTCCTTTTGAATCGGAATTGCCCGGAAGAGTAGGCGGACACAATCATGCCGGAACATCCATATGAAACGCGGGGTCCGGCCAGACGCTGGAATCTCAGCGAACAGGTAATATCTAAGCAAACTTAACAGTGAGACAAAACTAAGGGACAAGAGTCACCAAAACAACTCTTAGAAAAGCCCGGGAACGTTCAGGCCATCATCAGCAGGCATCACCCGGGAAAAGAAATGAAGACTTCAGCAGAGAAACACACCCAGGACTTTTATACGTTGGCGGGGGAGAAAAGCTGAGGAAGAGCGGCGGTTACGCAAAGGGAGATTTGCACTGGGGGGAAACAAAAACCCTGTCCTAAGAAAGCACGGCCTCAGACAGCTGCAGACGAACACACACATGCATTTCACTCCGCTCGGGCCCAGGAATTTAACTTCAATAACCCGGGCAGCCGTTCTCCGGGCGTCAGGGGACCGAGCACAATCAGTCCAGCATCTCCTCCATCCTGTTCTCTCTCTTCTTGAAACCACAGAAATCAGTGGCTGGCAGATTCCGCTATGCACCGGCAACTTGCTAAAGCAGAAGAACAAACTTACTCCAGTTATTTACCTCCAAATTTCAGCAGCAGGCGCCTCTCTCGCCTCCACAAGTGCCAAGATGGCGGGAAGAGAAGGACGAGGCCCCGCCGCGTGGCCTTGTGGGATGAAGCGCCGCTCGAACGCGCCCTCAATTTAGGCATCTTCTGCTAACGCCAGAAAAGCAGCGCTCGGAAATCGTCTTCGGACTGAAATAAGTCACGTTCAAGAGCACTCTTACAATTGTTTTCCTCAATCTTTTCATTTTGTCAGGCCGCAAGCTAAGCCTATCGGTAACAGGGGAAGGCAAAACAGTAGCCAGCTAAACCCGCCAGCGCCCTGCGTTGCCATGGAAACGACGTAGCGTGCTCCGGGCGTCCCCGGAAGCTGTAGGCGGAAAGGCGAAGCTGCCGGAGTAGAGGACCGTCCCACTGCCTGAAGGCTGATTGATTGTAAGATTGATTTGCGAACAAATCGAGGGTGCTTTTCCTTCGATTCAGACAGCAATAGACAGATCGGAGACGCTACCCTAGCATGGAAGAGAAAGGCCGGGAGCGGGAAGGCAGCAGGAGCTCTTCCTTTTTTCTTTTTCTACACTTCTTTTCTCCCCTCTACTTATTTATGTCTTCAAGAAATGAGACTGGGCACGGTGGCTCACGCCTGTAAACCCAGCTCTTTGGGAAGCCGAGGCGAGAGGATCGCTTGAGGCCAGGAGTTCGAGACCAGCCTGGACAGCATAGTCAGACCATCTCCCCCGCCCTCCCCTATCTCTACGAAAGAAAAAAAAAAAAAAGAATTTAAAAAAGAATGAAATGACTTAAATTCTTACCTCCATTCTTCTTTTTGGATCCGAGGTATAAGGAGGACTGCCTAGAGGAGGCTATATCGCCTTTTTAGGAGGCTTCTTTTAGCTACCTCGTGTCCACGCCTAATAGGTCCTCAGTAGATACTTGTAGAGGTGTATTCGTGGACGCCAGAGATTTACCTTTCCGAATTATTGCGCAGTTATTTGGGATACCCTATGGATTCATTAATTTATTTAACAAATAGTTTAATGAATGGCTACCCTATACCAAGGTTTGTGTAGGATGATGACACGGCAGTAAACAAATCTCTGCCCTTGTGGAGCGTACATCCTACGAGGGGGAGCAAGACAATGAGCAAGTAGAATAGGTAACACATTAGAAGAAGGTAACTTCTGTGGAGAAAATTAAGCAGAGAGGCCAGTGTCAAAGAGGCTTTCCGCCCCTTACTTTGAGATGGGACGTATTTAAGGGTTCAGAACAGGCGCGGTGGCTCAAGCCTGTAATCCCAGCACTTTGGGAGGCCGAGGCGGGTGGATCACGAGGTCAAGAGATCGAGACCATCCTGGTCAACACGGTGAAACCCCGTCTCTACTAAAACTACAAAAAATTAGCTGGGCATGGTGGTGTGTGCCTGTAATCCCAGCTACTCAGGAGGCTGAGGCAGGAGAATTGCCTGAACCCAGGAGGCGGAGGTTGCGGTGAGCCGAGATTGCGCCATTGCACTCCAGCCTGGGTAACAAGAGCGAAACTCTGTCTCAAAAAAGAGTGACTCCATATTGTCAAGAGTGACTGACTTCCGTATTGACAAAGTCGCTGTGTTGGGACTGAAGGAGGCAAGGGCACCAGCAGGAAGAGAATTATAGGTCACTGTAGTGAATGTGATGAGAGATGATGGTGAGGAAACACGTGATGAATACTGGAATTCTGAAGATATTTAGATTCTAGCAGGATTTGCTGGTGGATAAGGAATAAGTGAGAAGAGTAAAGGATGGCTCCAACGTTGTATGAAAGAGATGTATGTAAGTCACTGTTAAAATCAGATCCTGTCTTAAATATATCAGGATAGAACTTGTACCTTGTAGCCCACTACCGCACCCAATGTTCTGTCCCAGAAAGAAATGTGCTAGAAATTTCACTATCAGATATTAACTTGTCAAAGTTCTAAATGTAAGTCCTCCTGGGAGGAATACACATTAAATGTGAGTTTCATTTGTTTGCTCACATATTATTCATTCCACAAATACTTGAGTGCAGTGCCTGAAACTTTGTGCCTGATACAACTGTGAGCATCACTGTCATGGTTCCTGCTCGCATGCAACAGTTGTCTAGTGGGGAGAAACTGACATAAACATAACAAACTGTGAACAGAGTTCTGTGGGAAAATAGTGCCACGAATGCCCTGACCTAGCCTGATGAGTTAGGAAAAGGATCACTTGGAGAAGTGTCATTTAAGGCATTTTTCAAACTGCAGGTGATGATCCATTAGTAAAGCATGACCATAAATCCTTTTTTTTTTTTTTTTTTTTTTGGAGGCTGGAGACGGAGTTTCGCTCTTGTTACCCAGGCTGGAGTGCAATGGCGCGATCTCGGCTCACCGCAACCTCCGCCTCCTGGGTTCAGGCAATTCTCCTGCCTCAGCCTCCCGAGTAGCTGGGATTACAGGCACGCGCCACCATGCCCAGCTAATTTTTGTATTTTTAGTAGAGACGGGGTTTCACCATGTTGACCAGGATGGTCTCGATCTCTTGACCTCGTGATCCACCCGCCTCGGCCTCCCAAAGTGCTGGGATTACAGGCTTGAGCCACCGCGCCCGGCCACATTCTGATATTTTTTATTCTAACATACTTTGTTTTAAAAAGTATTGGCCGGGCGCGGTGGCTCACGCCTGTAATCCCAGCACTGTGGGAGGCCGAGGCGGGTGGATCACGAG